ATATTTTTAAAGGAGAATGAGGGCTAGGTCCCTTGAAGGTAAAGCCTGTTCACTGGTCTTTCCTCAAGAGTCAACACAGTCATTTCTAAATTCATTCCCTCATTTAACTCTGTCCTTTACATTTAATCTCAGCTTTGCCTCTCTTTGTAAATCTTTTGTCAGGTCCCAGCGCTTACTGCTTTTTGTATTTTCAGTAAACATTGCCAAACGTAAGGGAAGCCAAATAGGCGGTCAGTTAGCTTTGGTCCAAGTTGGTGTGATACAGCGATGGTAGCATTTTTACTTTAATTCATCCTCAGTTCAGTTCTTGATTAGGTTGTGGGCAGGAAAAAAGTTGCGCTAATTCCTGGCTTTTGGAGACACAAGCCTTTGTTCTCCGCAGAGTATTAGGTAACACCCCTAGTGCTACTAATCTTATAATCTTAAAAATTGGGCAGGACACACATAGCCTTCCTCTTATTTCATCTTCCGTAAGTGGGCACAATAAAGTACCCATCTCATGGTGTTATGAGGATTAAATGAGTTAATAAGATTGGCACATAAGAGTATCATATCAGTGTTTATAGGATAAATTCATGCAACACACTGTGCATCTTCTCTTTGACTTTTGAAAAAGTAACCCCAGCTACGATGCTGGTAGAGTTCCAGGCTCTCCTTGGAGCTCATGTAATTCATTGACTATAGCATGGTTAGCAGATGGCTTGGGGAAACCTCACCAACATGGAATTTGTTGACATGTTATTAAACCAGAATAATTGAAAATTCTGAAATCATGGATCTTTGGAAATACTTGAAACAATATTTTATATTTGTTCTAATCATGAAACAATATTTTACATTTGTTCTATTCATGAAAACTTTGAGAGGGTCACCTTTGATTAAGTATTGTCACACATATTCAATTTGTGATTTTCTATATTTTTTGTCATTTTGCATGTGTTTTTTTATTTTTATTTTTAACTGAAGTATAGTCAGTTACAATGTGTCAGTTTCTGGTGTACAGCACAATGTCCCAGTCATGCATATACATACATATATTCGTTTTCATATTTTTTATTGAAGGTTATTACAAGATTTTGAACATGGTTCCCCGTGCTATTCATTTTCTATACTTAATTGGAACAAAATGAAAGCTAATAAAGGTTTTGATATGGACAGTTATTAAGTAGATAACAATGAAAATATATGCAAAGTGCATATCGAGATGTAAATAGACTTGTTTGCACGCCATAGTCCCAGACAGTAATTTTTGAGATACTGGTAGACTTCTTGTAAGACCTACAAGTAACTAAATTGAGAAGAATCAAGACTTTTTAGAACGCGTGTTCCCTAGTCAACTTGGGATTAGTTAAAAATCATTTATCATTACTACAGCAAAGGGAGGCTGAAGAAGTATCTGATTTTACTTGTATTGAAATTATATTTTACTTTTTATGATTTATGTATATCAAAACATTTTCATAGCTTATTTTCTTAAGCAGTCTTTTTTGAAGTATACTGTACTTCCAATTTACGGTTTACAATGTGTTAATTGCTGGTGTACAGCACAGTGATTCAGTTATACATACATACATTCCTTTTCATATTCTTTTTCATTATAGGCTATTACAAGGTATTGAATACATTTCGCTGTGCTCTACAGTAGGACCTTGCTGTTTATCTATTTTATATATAGTATTTAGTATCTGCAAATCATGAATCCTAAGCACTTTTTAGAATTTCTAAATTAATTTGCTTGGAATCTTGATTAATGTAAAGGGCAGTTCCTTTTCCTTTGTTTCTGTCACATCCTATCCTCCCCTCTTTTAGGGCATTTACTCTGAACTCTTGGCACTCATTATTTGTTTACCTGCCTGCCTCCTGCAGTGGACTATACCCCTCCCAAGTGTACGAAGGTTAACTATTTCATTTGCGTGCCACGGACAGTCTGGCAGGTAGCGTTCTCCTAACACATTTGTTAAACAGCCTAATTAGTAATATCTGCAACCATGATATTTTACTGAATTTCGTAAAGCTCTGGGAAAGTTGGGTACACAGTTGAGATAGATCCAGATCTTGATTCTTTACAGAAAGTCAGATTTTTCGTTTGGTTTGGAATTTGAAGCCATGAATATAATACTTATCTCAGTCTTTCAAAGGCCAGGCTAAGTGGAATTACTGTCCTCTTTCACCAGGTTGGATCCCTCAGATACTGTCCATTTATATAGCTGAACTTAATGACAGTTTTAAGTTCTGTAGAGTTGACGAAGAGTTTTCGGACTCAAGTAGTTTTTTACAAATATTCTACAAAGTGGTTTATAACTTCTTATATTCTCCTGCCTTTGACCTTACACATTTCAGCTCTTGTGTCGTTAACCTGGAAGGCTATCATCTCAAGGACTGCTGAAGTTACTTGCAGTCTATTCAGATGATACACAAGCCTAGTTCAACATTTACCAAATTAGCAGGTGTTCCATAAAGATTGTGAAAATCTAAATCACAGCCCCTTAAAAAAACTGAAGTATAGTCAGTTTACAATGTTGTGTTAATTTCTAGTGTACAGCATAGTGATTCAGTTATACATGAATACATATATATATTCTTTTTCATATTTTTTTCTTATAGGCTATTATGAGATAGTGAATACAGTTCCCTGTGCTATATAGTAAGATCTTGTTCATCTCTTTATATATATAGTAGGTAGTATCTGCCATAGCCCTTTTTAGTCTTAAAATAAATGGGAGGCGGAAAGAAACACCCTTGGCTTACTTCTGGTAAGGTTTTTACGTACTATAAAACAAAGAACTGTATTCATCAACATAGCACAAATTCTACTAATAAAAGGGTTTTTTTTAAATTTAAAAAGTCGTTAATGTAGTTAAGGTTATTTACCACCCAAATCCACTTCTTCGGAGCAGTTCCATCAGTCTGAACTTAAGAGCCTCAATGTGGATATAGAAATGCACATTGATGGCCTTATTTAACTTAGCCAAATAGTTCTTCATGAGGTTTTAAACTCGACAGGTTTAAAACCCAGTTTTCACAGGATTGTAAAGTGGTAAAAATACATCAAATTTCAGTACCTTTAAATTTGGCTCAAACGGGGCACTGGGGCTTGGATTCACACGGCAGCAATACTTGTTTTTGTTTTTAACCATTTCAGGCCTTCTTGAATTAGAGGCTGTATTGGTGTGATGGAAAAAGCAGCCTTGGAATCTGACAGTCTGATTCCTGGATTCAGTCCCAGCTCTGCGTGACCTTGGGCCAGTTGCTCTACTTCTCCGCATTTCCGTTTCCTCCTATGCAAAAGGGGACTGCAAGAACCACCTTGCAACCGAGTCTGGAGCGCGCCTGGAACACACCCAGTCGGGTCCAAACAAACAGCAGCCATATTAAGACCGCGACGATCGCGCGGCCGCGCTCTCCCCGGCAGGTGTAGGAGCGGCCCGGGTCG